AGAGAGAAGTTGTGTTTTCCGATGGAAAGAAAAAAAAAAGAGCAGGCAAACCCACCCAGCATCAGTGGGCAAGGCCAGCCCGGCCCCCAGGCCCCGCACTCGCCTTAACCCTTTGTGTGGCGCTGCCGGCTCCGCTGCAGCCCCTGCTCCCGGCCCGCCGCTCAGCCCGGCAGGATGCTCCGCTTGGTGGAAGGTGCTAAAGTCAGTGCCCAGGGCCAAAAAGAGCCTTTAACCCCTTCCACTGCGGGGGGACAAAACAGGTTAAGACCCTGATAGTTTTTCTCTGATGAATGGTGGTGGTTTTTTGTTGCTGTTGTGGGGTTTATTTTTCTTTTTGTTTRTTTGTTTAAGTTTTGCTTTTTCCTCTTTCTGCCTTTTAGGGAMCACCGGGCTGAAGGTTTGAATCAAGCTGGACACGTTTGTGCCCTGCTCACGCTGGCAGCACAAGAACCTCTTGGGGCTGCRGTTATGGGTGCGACCTGCTGCTGGGCATCCCCTTCACCTGCCCTGTGATGAGTGGCGGGGGAGCCTTCATCCCCCCACACTGCCTGGAGGGAATTGGAGAAAGAGCTCCAGCGGGATGGGGAAGGGCTCCACTCGCCACTGCTGCCCTCGAGGCTGGGGCTGGAGGTGCCAGCAGCTCCCAAAAGGGCAGGGTCTGGATTTACCGCACTGCCTTGGGCCCTACACGMGCCAGAGAAAACGAAGGGGTTTTCGGTAGAGCTGCAGCAGCCAAAGGGATGGGGGGGTTCTCTGCGTTTGCCCCTGCGGAGCTGAAGAGGATGCACGCAGGGAAACTCCAGTCAAAGGAGCTGGGAAGCACGAGGCCACCTCCGGGCATCCCCGCCAGCGGAGCAGCGCCCGCCGCGCGGCAGGTCCCACGCAGCGCCCCGCGCCGTGGGGCCGCGCTGCCCTGCCGAACACTGCTCTCTGCTGTCCGCCCGCTGCCCGGCTCCGCGCGCCGGGACAGGGCAGGGCACGCGCGGAGGGATCATCCCCAAAGCCGTCCCCGCACCACCGCCGGCAGGCTGCTCTTTCCTGCTTCTTTCCTCTTTCCCTGCCCTCCACCACGGTCCCACCGACACGCCGGAGTGGGTGCCTTCAATGCCAGCAGTGCTCCCGCTGCATTTTTTCATGTGCATTGCATTTTTTTAATTCACCTTTTTTTTTTTAATGCACTTTTCAATGCACTTTTTTAACGCATTTTTTTAATGCCCTTTTTTTTTTTACCAGCTCACTCATGTAACAAAATGCAGGGTGCCCTTGCCTGGCAGCTGCTTTTGCCTGGCCAAGCAGCAGTTTTGGGAAGGGTGGCACACTGGCAAGCTGTGGYGGAGATCCCTGCTCACGGGCTCTCCGCCTGCAGGATGCCCTGGGGATGCCCCCAGGGGCACCTACCGCCTTGGGCTTCCACCGTCTCCCACTCCGCTCCACCATAYGTGCGGGATGGGGGCAAGGGGAAACCCGAAGCTCCGTGGGCAGCTCCGTGGGCACTGCTGGCTCCTGCTGGCACTGCGGGAGCAATTGCAGCTGCAGCAGAGCAGCACTGGCATGAGGTGGGAGCTGCAGGCTGCAGCCGGCTCCAGGGGCAGAGACGGGTGCAGGACCCAGAGGATGGAGCCGTCTGCTCCCATCCCGCCCTCGCTTTCCGGCTATCCGGCAAATCCCTCCTGCCAGCAAATGAGAGCGGGCTGCTATCTAAGCTGGGGCTGAGCCACTGCTCTCCGGAGGTCCCGGCACRTGGAACCCCCCGTTTCCTTTTCCCTTTCCCAGACTCGTCCAGGGCGCGCTGYGGCCGAGGGCCAGTGAAGTCCTGCCGGTGCGCAGGTGGGCAGCGGCAGGAACGCGCGTCCTCCCGCGCGCCGTGACTCAGCCGCGCGTGGCGCAGGGGTCGCCGCGCTCAGCCCCGCGCGGCCCCGGGCTCCCCGCGCTGCCCAGGGCCGCCGCRAGGACGGGATTTTTGCTTTAGGCTTGTTCTGCACTCTCAGAGACTTGCTGCCCCCTCCAGTCCTGGGATGGGGATTGATCCACAGCCTGTTCCGCACAGATGRTCCCGGAGCGGGAAGGAGCAGAGTGCTGCCTTCACCTGCCGTCCTCACTGCTGCCTCAGCCTCTCTGATTGGGAAGGGAAGTGGCAGCAGTGGTGGCAGCGAGGTCAGACAAGTTGCAGTCGCAGCACCCGGATACACGGATTTGCCGGGGCTGGGGGCAACCCAAGGAAGGCTCGGAGCGCTCGTCTGAGGGCAGGGGAAGCCCAGGCGTGGAGGAGACTGGGCAACGAATTCCCCTTTGAGTCATGGAGTAAGAGAGTGACTTTTCCGTGCCCGGAGTGGCAAGACCTTGGGCATCCGCCCTCCTGCCCGCCACAGCCCCCTGGCATGGCCACCGTTGTCCACATTGCTCTGCGACCGGTCCCTTTCCCACCTTAAAGCCCCTGTGATCTGGAACAGGGCYTGGCGCCTGCGGGTAGACCCATCCCCTTGCCATGGCAGGGCCCACGGTGCCCACCCTGGTCACTCACCTCAGCGCGGCCTTCGAAGCCGGCGCGAGCGGCTCCAGGCCGCCGGCTGCGCCGGGGCCCCCGCGGCGCGGCGCTCACCGTGGCCCCGCGGCGCGGGCTGCCTCATGCTGACATCCCCGCCGCGGCGGGCGAGCCGGAGCCGGGAGGGCGCCGCGGGGACGAGGTGCTTCACCGGGAGCCGGCGCGAGGCCGCTCGCCCGCCGCGACGCCGCTGCCGGACTGAGTCACCGCGGCGCCGCTGCGGGACGGGAGCAGCGCCGGGGCGCACGGCGGGGAACGAGTGACTCCGCGGCTCCGCGTGACCGGCCGGCCCCGGCCCCGGTGGGTTTGACTCAGCAGCTGCCCTCTTCCTCGGCCCCCGGCGCGCCGCAGCCCTAGGCCGGGTACTTCAGGGCTTCCAGCATTTTTTATTCCCCCCATTGGCCCCATGGATGAAAACGCCTTGAGTCAGGGTACAGGGTGGCCCAGCCAACTGCAGAGCACACCGGGAGYGGGCACTCTTGGCCCTTGCCGGCCACGGGGCTGAAGCGATTCCCGCCTGACAGCRGTGCCCCCGGGCAGCCTTGTGCCTGGCAGTGCCACGTGCACCRCGTTGCCTGGCCAGGCCTCAGGCTTCCCAAGCCCCGGCCTCCCGGGGTCGTTTTCTGAGCCAAATTGCTCTTCTCCGAAACCCCTTGGTGTTTCCCCCTTTTCTTTCGAGTTGGTGCTAATTCATTTCTAAAMGTGCGCGGACTTTCGCCATTGCCGGTGCCTTTCCCTCCCCACCTCCAGCTCGGCGGCTGCAGATTCCCGGCAGCAGCTCAACCTCGCAGCCTCCAAAACCCCCTGCGAGGACGCAGAACGCTTGTAGAATGAGTTGCATCTCCCCGTGCACCAGGCGGGGCTTTGCAGACCGCTCGTGGTGGTACCTGGATGGCCAAGAGGGACACCCCAACCTCCAGCGCCCAAGGGTTATGGGTGCAGGTACTGGAGCCTCCCAGCTTTGCCCACGGTGCCTTTGGGAATAGCCCATATCCAGCCTGGTGTGGGGCAGTCCTGGCCCCYAGGAAGAGCCTCTTGGCATCCCGCACCCCGCCTCAGTGCGGGGACCGGCTTCCTCTCCCCTACACACAGACAATCATCCACAGCTCTCAGGTATAGGTGAAAGTTTTATTTCCTTCAAGTGTAATAGAAAAATAAATGAGCACAGTTCGCCCACCGGAAGCAGAAAGGGTAGGTCCCCCTCTCAGAGTACAAAAAAATATATATTTAAATTCATAAATAAAATATTGTTACATTTATAGTTTAGCACAATAAAAATATCACAAAAATATATAGATGCAGCCATATATTAAAACTACATTTTTAAATATATCTTTCCAGTGCAAGGACATTTTTAAATTAAACCTTCAAATTCAATAAATACATTAGTTGTACAAATATTAGTCTATAAATTAGTCCTGACGGAGGCTGGCCACCCAACTTGGTGGCTGTGGTGAGGTCCCAAGGCAGGGCCGGAGCCGCGCTTCCCAACGAAAGTGCATCCTGCCGGCTGCGCGAGCYGGGAGGATCGGGAGGCACGGAGGGCACAGGGATGCTGAGGGCACGAGGAAACCATGGGCAAGGGATGCCATGGGCAGAGGGATGTCAAGGATGTTGTCAAGAACACAGGGATGCTACAAACATGGGGACGCCGAGGGCGTGCGGATGCTGCTTCCACGTGCTCACTGGGGCTTGCAGCCACTGTGATGGGAAGGTCGAATGCTACCCTGGGTCGGGGCCAGCCACTCCTGCATATTTTGGGAGCTATTTCCCCTCGAGGTGCAGCAAAGCCAGTGGCTCGGCGCTGCTGCGAGCCTGCACTAGCTGCTGGGCTTGGGAGGAAAGCGTGTGCAGCGCGGAGCTGCACGCCGGGCGCACAGTGCACAGCTGCTTAGTCAATACGGGTCACCAGACCCATTGAATCACTGGAAAATCGAGCCAGGGTTGAAAGTAGATGATGTTTCCARTGCACGGAGCTGGCAGCCTGCAGTAACCCCGCGGTGCTGGCTGCAGAGCCCTGACCTCGCAGTGAGAAGCACTGGGACGGTGGGCAGCGGCTGCCCATGCCAGCGCCACGGCTCCTTGGCGCGGCCACTGCGGTCAGCTCTGGGCTGCCACGACACGCGCAGCRTGCAGCAGACACCGGGACGACAGCCCAGAGCCGCGGGCCAGCTCCGTGCAGCAGTGCTGAGCATCCGATCTGTGCAACGGGGGCTTGGGAGCCGCCGTGGCGCAGGCTGGGCTGGCGGGCTGCGAGCGGCGGCAGGCGCAAGCCCGGCTCCTGCTTGCACAAAGGATCCTGCAGTTGTGCGTTGAGCCGGGCTTGGGAGAGCACAAGTTAGGCTGCCTTGCAGCCTGAGAGCGCYCTGCGCTCAGCGGCTGGGACCTGCTGCTTCTGGCCCTTCCCGTTTCACATGTGAAATCCTAGCGGAGCTGGAGGTGATGCCCAGATGAGATAAGCAACACGCTTGTCTTTCCGTGGTGTCTGGACCGAGACGGGTTCCAGGGAGAAACCACCAATTTTGGTCACTGAGAGCCTTCAAGTTGGAGTCCAGCCTCCTGGAGACACCTGTCCTGGACGCAGTGGTGGCAAGGGAGTCCTGCTCCCGCTTGCTGGCCATGTCCATGCATGGCCCCCTTTTGTTGAGCTTTTGGAGTAAGACGGTAGCAGACGGGCCCAACACCAAGCTCGGGGGCAGCTCCTCCACCATGGTGACAGAGGCTGGTGGGAACAATTCACATATCGTTGGGAGCACCCAAAGTTGCTGGTGGTCTAGGAGCGCCTGACCCGCTTATTCGCCTTGAGCCTCTTCTCGACCCACGCCGCTGCCGACGGTGGTTTTCGGAAATCTAGGAGTCCCTTGGCTTCCAAGCTGGTGTTCAGTTTGCTCATGAAGCGGGAGTAGCTCCAGAGGACTTTGCATCCTTCCAGTTTCTGTTGGAAGACTTTGGTCACTGCTGGCTTCTGCGGGAGGGAGATGTGTATGGGCACAATGCCCTGGGCTCGGAGCAGTGTCTCGATGTTGTTGAGGAGCCCACGCACCTTCAGATGGGTGTTGGCAAGCCTCCGGAGGAGCTCAGAGCCGGGGGCATTGAGATCACGCTGGTGCTGTGAGATAGTCTGCAGGGCATGGTCCATATGCTCCATGGCCCCGTGGAGCTCCTGCAGCGTGCTGGGCACCAGCAACTCTGCCATATTCCCCCGGGGCAACCACTCCACCCACTTGCTGCTCCGGCAGAGCTTTGGCATGGTCAGCCCCTGGTTGCTCTCCTGTGAAGACACAAGCAAGGTGGTCACCTCCAAGCGGCTGGAAGCTGCTGGCCAGGGCTCCATGGGGTGTCTTCAAGGGACACCGGCCCCGGAGGAGAGCAGTGACCCCACTGCACCGTCCTGYTTGATGGCAGTGCAGGGAACCAGCACTTACATAGAAGGTGAAAAGCTCCTGCGCGTCCTCTGCCATGTGTCGCACGAGCGAGTGGATCTGCTTTACATAGGAAGTCTGGGAGTTCTTGCCGGCATCGGTGGGCACCGCACAGAGGATGAGGAGACCTTTGGCCACAGCTGAGGAGGAAGAGGAGGGAGCGGGGGAGGTGGAGAGGGGGGAATCAGTGTTACTTCTCATAGGGATTCGCCCAAGCATGACGGCAGCCGAGGGACAGCGCGGGCACCAGAGGACCATGTTGACCAGATGGCTCCAGGTGAGACTCGGGCCCCTCTCGCCCCACCAGCCCACCACCATTTAAAGCACCTCTTGTTCTGCTCGCCACCACCCCCAGAGCAGCAAAGCCACCCAGAGATCCTCAAAGGGCCCCACATGGGGCTCTCTCAGCCCTTCTGGCTCTCCTTCCTGCCYGCTTTCAGGAACAGGTGCCCGCACTCACAACGGTCCCCGCCGCCCCGCGCCCGCTGGCACCACCGGGAGAGGGAAGCCGCAGCGGCCGGCGCAGCTGAATGACTCAGTGCCCCGGCGGACCTCGCTGCCGGGCTCGGCTGCGGGGTGGCCCGCGTGGCTGGGCAGGCCCCGCTGCGGCAGCGCGGGCGCGCGAGCAAGGGGGCAGCAGTGGAACGGCAGCACTGACCTACCTGCCAGCGCGGCCAGGGGCCGTGCGTTGCACCACATGTCTCGGGGCAGGGCACTTCTGAGCAGTGCTGCAAGGCGCGGAGCCACTTCCTTACTGCTTGCTTAGGGGGAAGCTCGCCTTTTAAAGTGCACTGATTAGCCTCCACCTCCGAAGGAGGCACCCGGATTCAAGAGAAAGAAATACAGAAGTAAAGCAATGACTGGGGGCCAATGAGCAGGGTGAGCCACGTCGGGGCGGAGGGGAGGAAATGATGCCAACCAGCCCCTGGTTTTGTTCTTCGATTCAGTTCCTCGAGGGAGTCCTTGCAGGTCCACCCTAGCTCCAGGGTAGCCAGCAGACCCCCTGAGCGCAGCCTTAACCCGAGGCCAAACAYAAGGACACCAACCGTGTAGGAAGGAGCCTCCTTGTGCTCCCCAGTTTCACTGATTTCTTTATTAGATGGAAGAGGCTCACGGCCACGGTAGCGACTCATTAACCTAAAACCAGCCTCTGCTACCCACGCTGCCATCGAAGCGCAGAAACCACCACGGGGTGACCAGCGGCAGCAGTGGCTTTTGCAGCAAGACTCCAGGCCATGCCGCGCGCCGGATCCGCGGTGCCAACATGGACCATAGGCAGCAAGCGCAGGCCTTGCCCTACTCCGTGCCCCTGAGGCTGGAAGCCCTGCGCAGAGCTGCCCGCCTGCCCCCGGCACCGCGGGCCGCCCGGATGCCGGGATGCCCGGCGCGGGCTGCGAGCTGCTGCCGGGCGCCGGGGCGCTGCAGCCGTATATGGTAAAGCCGAGAGCGGCCCGCGGCGGGGATGCCGGGGCAGGCGGCAGCGGAGGAAGTGGCCACGCTGACTAAGGGGGGTTCTCCTCTCCGAGGGTGGGTGTTGGAGCTGGTGGCACCCACCAGCTGACAGGGCGATGTAGGAGCGCGGGCACCGTGGGCAGTGCGAGCGCTTGGTGGTGGGATGCCGGCAGCGCCAGGCACTGCTCCCGTGCGTCCTCACCAGGCCCTGGGCACCCCCGGAGCCAGGAAGGAAATGCAATCGCCCGGGAGGTCAGCAGAAAAGCCCGGCCTGGCAGAAGCCCGCGGGCGTTGCACAAAGCCGGAGCCCGACGAGGTCAGAGGAAACACGCTCGGGCGGCCGTGGCGCAGCAGCTGCCCGCCGGCTGCCAGCGCAGCCTCCCCGKTGTGCTGCGTAAGAATTATGCAACTCCGSCGGGCAAAGCATCCCTGGCCGCCAGCCCCACGGGCGGTGCAACACCGTGCCCAGGCTTGGGAGCCCCCAGAGCTGCCCTCGTGTCCAGGCCTGAATTCCACTTGCTGGGGGCTTCGCAGAGCCAGCCTGGGAGCACTTGGGCTCCCACAGGAGCCTGCACCAGGTACCCTGGAAAGTGAAAGCAATTTTCCAAAAAATTTATTTTGTTTTCTAGACAATTTACTAGATTTTGCTAAAGTGAATGAGCTCCGGGCAAATCTGCTGGCTCTAGGGTACCGTCAGCACCCAAGGAGCCACGATGGGCTCCCAGCCTGGAGCTGTTTTCAGCAGTACTCTGGCCTTTGGCAGGAGGAGGGATGCGAAGGCCCTCGCCCAGGGCTGCAAAACCTGAGGCCTCAGGCAGTTCTCAGCCTTGCAACCCAAAACACACAACCCTCGAGCACCGAGACCCGGCACGCGCAGGGCTGAGAGCGGCTGTTCGCTTTGCGAGATGCATTTTGGACCCTACGGCATCTAGCTCGCTCAAAGGGGACATTGCCAAGGTGCAGGGCTTCCAGGTGCTAGGTGGGTGACAGGAGACTGCGGGGCTGCCCCTTGCCCTGGCAGAGGCCTCCGCTGCCCCTTGCGTCGCTGGCCCATCTGAGAATGCCGCTGCCCACCTTGACCTGAGCTGGCGCCCGCAGGCAGCGGAGCGCCCAGTCCCTCCGGTCGCGCCCGCTTCGCCCTTCTGGCCGGCGCAGGAAGCTGCCCAAAGCAGAATCTGCACTTTCACACTGGAGGGACTCTGTAAAGAGAGGGAAACCCAGAAATAATATCGCTTTGAGAACGGAAGAGAGCAGCAGTGACTCATTTCCATAAGAAGAAATACTTGCTTTTCCAAAAATTTCTTCCCCCCCACCACCTCCCCGGCCAACCTGCAGAACTCCCCTGACGCAGGAAATGGRCCGTGTGTGGCATTCAGTGAAGTCAGTGGTGCCTTGCTCAACACCACGTTCCCCAGCATCCCCAGGAGATGAGCTGTGAGAAGGACCACCAATACCTGGTGTTCCTCCTCTGCCACCGTTTGGTTCCTCTACCCTCAGCCATGACCCAGGTTTCTCTACAGAGATGCCCCCAAGGACACCTTGGCGTGTCCTCTAAAGGATCTTCTTTCTGTCTTGTCCGCACCCCACCAGTCATTGCTGTGTCTGTACTAGAGAAGAAACGAGGACTTGAGGCCGAATGGCCCAGTTTGGTCATGTCCCTGTGGATCCTCCTCCTCCAGGTATCATCTGGGAGAGCATGAGCTGGTACCAACCATGTCCATGCTGGGTCTGGTGCAATCAATCAAGCAGCTTGGGGAGATGTGTGCCAATGCATGGCCTCCATCCCCGCAGCGCCAAGTACACGTACTCACGGTGGCCTTCCTGCAGCCCTGTCAGGACCTCAGAGATTTGATGGGGCTTTGTGGCCCCAGGGGCACTGATGGGACTCAAGAYGTGGAAAACATGGGGCTGCCATAGTGTGCTCCAGCAGGCCTTCACGGCCGCCAGGCATTGAGTACAGGCCCACAGTCACATCTGGCCAAGCCATGGGTTGTCTCATCCTGGTGTGGTGGGACTGCAAAGCTTATAAATAGGACAACTTGGACGGAAAGAAGGATCCAGAAGTTCCTTGTCTCAAGGAGAAAATACACCGGCTTGACAAAGACAATTTGTTTATCCATCCACCAATCCATCTACTCCACTCATCCACCACATCCATCCATACACATATATATCCATCCCAACCACCTAGCCATCCATGTATCCATCCACATATCCATCTATCTATACATCCACCAACCCCATCCACTTATCCTACATGCACATCTCTATCCCAATCATCCATGCACCTATGCATCAGTCCACTCAACCACCCATCCACCTGAACACCCATCCATCCATCCATCCATCCATCCATCCATCCATCCATCCATCCATCCAATGAACCATCCATCCATTCAATGAACCATCCATCCATCCATCCATCCATCCATCCATCCATCCATCCAACCATCCTTCCATCCTTCCATCCTTCCATTCTTCCATCCCTCTAGCTATTCCAAACGAAGCTGTTTGCTCATCCACTCACTTCACTGTCCCACAAGGCATGCCATGCCCACAATAAGTGTGTGACACATGGGTAGGATTGGCAGAGGGAGTTGGGCTGGTTTTGGTCCACCCAGTGGCACCTGGGTCCTGACCACTGCTAAGGATCCCCACCAGAGGAGACCCTGGAGCTGCTGGACAGGGTGCCAGTCTTGGTACCACCCCAGGCCTTGTCCAGCGAAGAGCCAAAGGGTTTACGCAGGGTGTGCACTACGTGAAGCGGGAAACGTGGAAATCCAACGGGCTCATGGAATGACTCCAAACGCCATGGGGAAGACCCAGAGCCGAGCTGCTAGCCCATCCTTCCGAGCCAGCAGCTGGGAAGCACACCAGTGCTGCAGGACGGGTGGCAGCAGGACACCCCTGCCCCTTGCTGCCGCAGGGCTCCGCCGGCCTCCAAAGGAACAGCAGCCACCCGCATGGAGGGAGAGGCTTCTGCTGCGCTCCGCTCAGAGGAGGCTGGAGATGAAAGAGGAGCATGTCGTGGAAGAATGTGCAATACCCATGGCGGTTAAAAATAGGCCTGGTGACCGCATTGGCTGACTGTAGTTTCTTAATCTCCGTGGCGCACGTCACCACGGTCTCATGACTCTGGAAAAGAGAGTGAGACAGGAAGGAAAGAGGCTGGGGACTTTGTAGGAACTCAAGGTCTTGCAAGGGCCCTCCAGAGCAAGCTGCCCACTTGTTCCACTGCTGGGAACGGGCCCCGGTGGCTTCTGAGGTGCTGGCACTCCAGCTCTGTCTGGAGCCTCTGCCCATGGTGGATCTAGGGGGCATCTCCTTCCACAGCCCCAATATTCCGCTTCTGCCCTGGGTGGCACTGGGACAGACGGAGGCTCTCACATACTGGAGCTGCCGGCGCATGGTCCCTGTTTGATGTGCCAGCTCTGGAACTGACTGAGGAGGGCCGAAAATCTGCTTGCTCAGCAGGAAGGAGGGCACGAGGCTCCCCTGCTCTGAGTCCACCGTGGCAGCACCCACCTCTGGCCCCGACACCTTGTAAAACCCCTCGTGGCAGCTGGGCGAGGCAGGCAGCGGGCACTGCTGGCACCAGGGTGTTGCTCAGTCTCGGCCCCACTGCGGCACCAGCCCTTGGAAGGACCTCGCTGTCCAGGGAGCAACCCAGCGAGCTCCTGTGCTGCTCCTCTCTTTGACTTGACGGTGCCAGGGCTTCCCGGACCACCGAGGCGAGCAGAGGCGGTGCTGGAGCACCCAGCCACTTCACAGCACCCGGAGCACAGGGCATCGCASCCGGCTGCTCCTGCTCAAGGTTTCCACCTCCTCGTATGCACTTTTAGGACGGAGTGATGCCTAGGGAGCCACAGGCAGGGATGAGGCAAGTGCAAGGGGGGCACCCACAGGGCACCCAGGGCAGTGCAGGCAGGGTCCAGCTCCCAMGGGGAAGATCAAAGTCTCCCTCCACCACTGACCTGCAGCCAGGCGGTATGTGAAAAACTGCACTTTTATTGACTCTATAAAAATCATGAAAAAAAATATAGCTCAGAGGATGGGGCTTCCCTGCTCCCCTCCCCGCTCCAGGAGGAGTCATCATGGCCACATGGTGGGACACAGAGCCTGACACCAGAGAAGAGACAGGGCTGACATCCCAGCCGTGGCTCCGCCGCTGGAGCAGCATCCCCAAGGCAGGGCTTTGGAGGGGTCCAGGCGCAGCACAGATCCCAGCCGAGGAGGGCTGGAGCAGCACCAAGCCCTCGGCCATGGAGAGCAGCCTCCAGCCTCAGCACACGAGAGCTCTGCCACCACCCTGGCTTCAGGCCGGGCCCAACCCTGAGCCCAGGCTGGGGATGTTCTGCTCCCCTCTGCCCTGAGAGGATAAAAAAAAAAGGCATTAATAGCTGCAAGTGGCGACAGGCCAGGGAGCTCTCGAGGCAGAGCACGGCCGCTCCTGCGTTTCAGCATCTCCAGGGTTTCACAGAGGAGATTTCTCCCTCTTCTTGCGGTTAAACATTGCGGTGCCAGCTGCGCATTGGCAGCCACATGGCAGGAGCCACATCTTGGTCCTCTGGGGTCAGCCCCGTGCTGGCCACCCTGGGCCAGGGGAGAGCGGCCAAAGGGCCAACCCTGAGCCCAACAGTGTGCCAGAGGTGGCCACAAGCCAAAGTGGAGCAACAGGAGCCCTCAGCAACGGGGCAACGCTGCCGGAGGGCACGATGCCCACAGTCAGATGCAGGGTCCTGCTGTGATACATGTCGCGGTGCTCGACGAGGGCCGGGGCGCTCCCGTCACCATCACCCTGGCCTCGAGGGCCGGTGCCTGCTAACTGCTGCTCTCCTGGCGCCGCCGGAGCAGCCCGATGACCTCGGAGATGCCCTCCTCAGGGACCTGGGAGCAGGACCCTGTGTCAGCGCGGGCAGCACGTGGGGCACCCCGGTCACGCCGCCGGCCACGCCGCCCCGCGCCAGCCGCAGCCATGGCCAGCGCGGTGCCCTCACCAAGGCGTGATCAAAGTTGAAGGTGCTGATGTAGTAGGCCGAGATGTCCACGGTGGCCAGCGGCTCAGCAATCTGCGCCACGATGCCGCACTCGTCTGGAAGGCAAAGGACGCCGCTGGTGACCATGAGGGACACAGCCAGGGAGGAGCCCGCATGCAGCGGCATCGAAGGCAAACCTCAAGCTGCAGGAAGCTCCCAGTTCTGCTCCAGAGCAATCCCAGGAAGAGGGGGGTGACGTTGCGCCATGGGAGCAACCGAGTGCCAAGCTCAATGGGGGAACCCACCCTTGCCCGTGTCGCTGCTTCCCTTTCCACACGAGCTCCCCCGGGTGCTCCCAGCAGGACAAGGCTGTGATAAGCGCAGCAGAGGCCTGTGACGGTGGGGCAGAGCCACCAAGACACGTACCGAAGCCCAGGGGCTGCCCGCCGATGCGCACCATGCGCCAGAGCTCYTCCGTGGAGCTGGTCAGCAGCAGGTCACTGGGGAACCTGGAAGAAAGCGGGGTCCCTGAGCGCAAAATCCCCCGGGTACTCRGTGCCTGCTGGAGCCGTGGCTTCAGGGAGGGACACGTGGCCCCAGGCAGGGCTCCAGGGCGTGCGCCAGGCTGCGAAGCTGCACCGAGCTTTGGCGGGCACCCACCTCTTCTGGGTTTCCACATCCATCACGATGGAGATGTAGCCCTCGATGAGGGAAAAGGCRAAGAAGGTGATGGTGTCCAGGTCCTGGCTGCCAGGGCCAGCCTCCTTTGGAGGGCTGCAGACAGGGCGAGTGGGGGGAGCTGACCACCAGGATGGCCAGGGCCCCCATCTTGGGGGGCTCACAGTGCCCCTCTACTAGAGRGCTGGACCTCTCGCTGGTGGGGGCAGTGCCAGGGTTCACTCTGCACTTGAGAAGCCTCTGGGGTGGGAGGTGCAGCGTGTGGACCCGGCCACAGCCACGTTTCCACACGCGGCTGGAGCCGTGGTGCCTCTGGAGCAGGAGAGCCAACASAGGAGCTGCTCTTTACACATCAAAAGGGATCCGCTGCCTGACAAGCCCAAGYTCCCAGGTGCCCAAATCCAGTGAAATGCAAGGTCTCATCCAAAGGGAAAGTGGCTTCTCAGGAATAACCTCAAGGCTTCATGTCTCCAGGGGGAGACACGACAGAGCTCCAACCACTGGGAAGTCCCCTGCCTGGGCAGGGTTTCAAGCAGTYTTTTTGCAAATAAAAGGAATGCTTCCTATTTTGCACGAGCTTTGCTGCAGGAGCAGAGGGCAAGATGAGAGGCACCAGTTCCTTCAGTGCTTGTGGAAGGGCCAGGGGGCCTGTGGTCCAGCGAGGTCAGAGCCAGGGCAATAGGGAAGGCTGGAGGCACCCCAGCCCATCCCGAACAGCCACAGCACCCCCTTACACCCCCAGTGCGAATGCCTCTAGCAGCAGTGGGTTGAGGCGACCTTGCCCGCCACACACTAGCCCTCCCAAGACCCCATTCCTGCCAGGCTGGGCAGGACCTGATGTGCATGCAGCCACCAGCAGCAGGTTCACACGCCAGCTCTCCCCGCAGCCTCCTGCCCACCAGCACTACCCACGCGAGCTGCCGGCACCGAGCGAGGTGCCAGCACCCAGCAGGGTCCCACCTGGGGGAGTAGAAGAGGACGTCGATGAGCATGGTGGCGATGGCGGGCAGCGTGTCGGGCGCCACGGTCACGATGCAGAAGCGGTTCTGGGGGCTCTGCACGGGGTGCACTGTGGGGCTGGCGGCTGGCGGGGGACAGCCAGGCGTCACCCCAGGCAGGGCGCCCAGCTGYTCGGGGACAGGACAGCAGTGCCACCCCGTGGCCACAGCAGCGACAGCCTGGCACCCCTCAGGGCGCAGCGGGGAGGCCCTGCCGACGGGATCCAGCCCCTGGCACCAGCGCCAGCCAGGCATGGGGATGTGGGCAAGCCCAGCCGCTCACCTGCCTTCGGTTTGAGGAAGCCGTTGCTCACATCATCGTGACTGACGGGGACAGACTCGCCATTCTCCTCCTTGTAGATGTCAAATTCGCCCGCCAGTGTGTTGATCACCACYGGCAGGTCCTTCTCCCGGACCTGGCAAGAGCATGGGGAGAACGAGGCCTCCAAGCACTCCCCTCAGTCTCCATCCCCGAACTGGGAGCACAGGTGCTGCAGGACTGCTCCCTGTCCCCACTGGGGATGCAGACAGCCACTGTCCTGCCCACGCGCGACTCACCAGGACGTAGTCGGTCTGGTAGGTGGAGAGCATCAGCACCGAGACGTGGTGCTCGGCCAGCGGAGCAATCACTGACTTGGCGATCTTGGTGACGCCGGTGGCCTGGCAGCCGGAGGAGGCCCTGCCGCTGGACACAACGCTGAGCACCAGCCACGTCGAGTCCGCCACCTGCATGAACTCCGAGGGCGGCAGCTCTGCAACAGGAGAACCGCGGAGGAAACCTGAGGTGGCCCAGGAAGAGGGAAGAGCCAGGACCTGAGTCCCCACCAGGAGCCACATGAGCTGCTCCTCCAGCCCTTGGGGACACCAGCTTCACAGGGACAGGGCTGCACCTGCTGGAGAGGCCGTTGGGCAATTGGGAGGAGGTGGCACAGCCGCCAGACTCCAACTCTCGCTGCATGAGACCCTCGGGYGAGGAGCTGGCCATGTTCTCTGCTGCAATTGTGGAGGCGGCCAGATGCTTCCCAAGAACAAGAAGAGACCAGGAATGCCAGCAGGATGCACCCACTGCAGCCCTGACCCTGCTCAGCTCCTGAGTGGGCCCAGGCATCCCTCTCCCCATTTCCCTCTGGCATCCYGGTGCTGCCAAGGTGCCCACGGTGCTGCTGGGCAAGGGAACTGGAGCAGCGCTGGGCACCAAGCTGGTACAGGAGGGAGCAGAAGGCAGCAGGGCTGTGAGCTAAGGCAGCCCAGGCAGAACAAAGCCAGGGTCTGGCAGGGCTCAGCTCGTGCCTCGGTCAAACGCGGCCACGTGCCCGGCCACGGTGCCAGGAACACCTGGGCCATGGCAATTGCCACCACGGTCATGGCCTGGGGAGCAGCAACAGCCCCAGGCACYGGCCCTGTGGCTCCAGCAAAGGGGATGGGGCCACCAACATCAACGGCAAAGCTGCAAGGCAGCTGCGGCAGGCACAGCCCTGCTGTCTCCAGCTGGACATCAGGTGCCACCCAGGCACCCTCAGCACCCTTCCAGTGCCCAGCGAAGCCCAGTGTACACAGGTTTACTGCCACGAGTGCTCAGCATCCAAGCTGGCACAGAGCCCCAGCAAGCAGGACACAGACCCCAGTGAGCAGCCCTGGTCAGGTGGTTCCAGGAGATCCTGGACGCTTCGCAACAGTTCCAGCAGCTTTCCAGGCTCTCTTTCCATTCCCATTAGGTTTAGGAGTGTTTACAGCAGACAGAGGCTTCAGCTCTCTCCATCTCCAACACAAGCACAATGTCAAGAGGCGCTACCATGTTGTAGAGYCAGGCTACACTGTTTTGTAGGGTCCAGACTCCTGTTGGAGCTGGATACCCACCTGCTGGCATGGCCATAACCCACACAGAGAAGCTTCAGACTGACAAAGAAGTACAGACCTTCAAAGGGGCCCTTCTCCTGGTGTGAGCATAGCAGCTCTCCCAGACCCTGCTAGCACTAGCAGTGCTGGGGACAATTGCTCCTTCTCAGAGAAGAAGTTGCCTTCAAGCAAACCTGGCTGAAACCAAAGCTGGTGAATTGGTTGCCCTAGGCCTGCCCGTCTGAGGGCTGCCAGCCTATAGTCACAAGTAAGATGAGCTGCAAGGGGCTCAGCTGTGAAAAGAGGCCAAGTTCAACCCCAAAAGAGAGCAGGGTCAAGACCATGAGGCCTCCAAGGCCATGAGGCCTCCAAGGCCAGAACTTTTCTCCTCCTGGCATCAGCTGCCTGAGCAGGTTGTGAGGCAGAGATGGGCACCAGGGTTGACAGCTACTCCAGAAACAGGGATGGTGGTCCACAGTGTTGACAGCTACTCCAGAAACAGGGATGGTGGTCCACAGTGTTGACCTTCCACACACTCGAGCTCCATAGCCTTGCCTGGTAGCACTGGGGCTGCCAGGCCACCCACCTCTGGCCAGGTAGAGAGGTGTCATGAAGCCAAACTGTGCTGGGGGTGCTTGGGGACGGCAGTGCTGTCCCAACAGCTGCCAGCACTGTGGGTCACCAAGTCAGCAGGTGAGCAGAGGTGCAGGTCAGCTCCACTGAGCRCCAAGCCCAGGGCTGAGCCTGTGCTGGCCAGGTGCCAGGGCCAGCTCCACGGGAGCTGCTTTTGTTGGCACAGCCCAGGCCTGCTCGACAGATCCTTCCTGCCCCTCTCCCCAGGAAGGGACAGATCTGGGCTACGCTCTTCCTCCCACGTTGCATCCTGACGCCCGCTCGCCAGCCGCGAGCCCCCACTAGGTGCTGCACAAAGGGGCTGGTGTTATCTTCCAGCGAAGCTGTAGTGACCAGGGCAAGGGCACCCATCCACTCACCATCCAGAGCAGCATCTCCTGGCCTGGACTTCCTCTGTCCCACTTCTCCACTCTATGGTACTCACAGGTGAGAGTCTGGATAAAACAGGTCTCTCAAATCCTCCTTATCCTCCTGTCTGAGCAGACCACCACAGAGACTCTGGTGGGAACCAAGCCAGTAACTTGGTGTTTCAGCTGGGGTCTGCAAGCAGTAGCTGAGTCGAGAAGGCAAACTCATCACACCAGAGGTGCAGTGGAGCTGGAGGAGGTTTCTCCATCCCAAAGGCCTGGCGTCCTGCAGCCCACGGGCAGCCACAGCTCATCCGAGTGTTCAACCAAAGTATCTACAACCCACATCATCAGTGCTGCATGTCAGAAAGGGGCCTCGGCAGGAGCACAGCATCAGCAAGGAGACTATAGGCAGACAGAKWGCTGCAGGCTGATGTGCTGGACCTYCACTGCCCCAGCCATGCGCCGGCTACAGGAACGGTGCTGCCATCCATCCAGACTGGAGCTGTCGAACCTTTGGGCCAGCCCAAAGGAGAATCTCAAGGTCTGCCGGGTGGCTGTCACTGCAAGAGCCATTTCCCAGCTCGCAAGAGCCCCCCACGTGTATTGCAAGTGGCCACAGGCCGTTTGGCTCCTGAGCACCAGGCAGCCGCGGGGACAGCGAAGCTCCAGCAGCCGGAGGAAGGGACGCGCTCGGCTTCCAGAGCCCTCCCTGCACAGGCGTTTCCCTCGGCTGCCTCCCGCACAGGAAGCGCCGRAGGAGCCGCGGCGCTTTCCCAGGGCGGCAGGTCAGGAGGTGGCCGCCAGGGCCGCCCGCCCCATCCCAGCGCTTCCCGCTCGCTGCTAATGGATTTTCAAGACCCCCCGGGAAGTGCGAGGCACTGCAGCCCCGGCGGGGCCTGCCGGGAAACGAGGGCGGCAAGGCTGCCGCGGTGGCATCACCGATGGTCACCAGCAGCTCCAGGACCCCAAGGCAGGGCAGGTGCAGCTCCAGGGTTAATTTGGCCTCGGGAAGCTCAGGAACTTTCCTGCTGCACCAGGTCAGGTTCAAGCACCCCCCAGCAACCCCACAAAAGCAGCAGCGCCACAACCACAGCTGGGCATCACAGGGCATCAAGGGCATCACAGCCTGCCCAGTGTCTGTAAAGGAGCAGCACGGGGACAGACTCATGGCCCATCTCATGTGTCCCCTGGCTGCTGGCTCAGCCACCTGCAGAGAAGATTCAGCAATAAAACCCCTCAAAATTAACACATAGAGCGGGAGGACCACAGGCGACACCGGCCCCACGGTGCTGGCAAGAGGGCAACCGCCGAGGCGAGGGAAGCGGCTGCGTGTGACGCTGGTGGCCCCCAGCCCCGCAGCCCGGCCAGGCCCCATTGTTCCCAGGCGCCCCTGGGGACAGCGATGCAGGCGAGGACAATGCGGCCGCGGGGGCTGCGGAGCGGCCGGGGTCCCCGAGGGGCTGTCGCGGGGCTCCGCCAGCTCGGCGGGGGGGTCCCGCACCTCCAACCGCCTGCAGCAGGAGGATGCTGGCGCGGCCACGGGCCGGCCGGGAGCCCTCGGTGCTGCTGCCGGCGAGCGGCCGGGCCGGCAGCCCTGGCTCCTTGGGGCCCGGCCAAGGAGCTCAGATCCGGTCGGCTCCCCGCTGGCCTGCGACAGGAAGGTTTGGGTGGGGGCAGCCGGGAACAGGCGGCTGGGAAAAGGATCCGAGCGGCCGGCAGCGCAGCCGGGAAGCCAGCACGCCCCGTAGGGCTGTGGGGCACCGGGGGGCTGCGGGGCACGGCGGTGCCCCACGCGCCTCCCGGCAGGAGCTGCCGCTGCACCGGGAAGCGGCAAGAGGCGCTCGCCGGGCACCGCCTGGCTTCCCGGCAGGGTTTGGCACCGGCGCGGGGCTCGGGCCGGGCACGATGCAAGCTGCAACTTGTGGAGCGTGACGCGCAGCGCATCACCCTCCCGGCGGGGCGCTGAGAACTTGCACAACTCGCTTCAGGAGCTCAAAGCAAGGCCCCAGGGACTCTGTTAGAGGGGAACAAGCCGCCGCATGGTACCTTTGAAGCCTTCCTCGTCCAGCATGATGGTGTAATCCTCGGGRGTCTCCGTGAGGCTGAAGAACTTGCACCTGCCGGGAGACACGGGGGGCTGCGGAAGGCGCCGGGGAGGGAGCGGCGGCCCCGGGAGAGGCCGCAGCCCCGCGAGGATGAGCACGGGCGGGGAGGAAGGCGCCSCGGGTACCTGCAGCGCTGGGGCAGGAAGAGCAGCTTGACGAGCGGGTGCGTGTAGAGCCAGAGGCCGCGGCGCGCCACGCTCAGCACCCGCACCCGGTGCTCCAGGATGTGCAGGTCCATGGCGGCCCCGCCGCCCCGCGCCGCTACAACGGGGGCCGCGGCGCCGCCACTGCCCCGGGACCGCCC